ACACCCCTTATATTAACATACTGTATTTAAAAAAAAATAGATATTAATCTCTAAATTTAAATCTTGAAAATAGATTATAAGACATAACTTATTACAAGAAAATCCAACCCTCAAGGTTGAGCCTTAGGAGAATTGTAACAACCGGTTCAAAGTTTTGATCACATCTCTTAAACCTCCATTTAATATTATTTTAGTTTTAAGTTTTGTGTTTTTATCTTTTATATATTTAGTAACTGTTATTATATTTAAAAATTAAAACTTATTATAAAAATTGAAATTTATTAAATTTAATTTAAATATAAAATTAATTACTAAATACATAAAATAAAAAAATATAAAATAAAAAACCATAATAATAAGAGATAAAACTTAAACTCACATATGCTTACCATTGTGTTTTTATTTTTTAAGATAATAGTTAAAAAGTTAGTATAAGTTATTTATTAGTAATTAGTTTTTAGATTGGGTAAACATTTTACCCCCTTAAATGAGGTGCATAGTCATTAAATTACTTTTTAATAAAATTCATAACAATGATAAAATTTAAAACTTTGACCACCTCATCCAAACACTTAAAATTTGATATTGAAAGATTGAGTTTAAAGGGCCGAATCCATTGTGTTTTCTTCTTCCGAGTTTAGGAGAATTGGAGACCTTGGAAAAGGAGTAGAAGGGAACACAAAGGGCTATTGGGTGGGTGGAGATTTGACAACCGTACCTCCACCAATGCTACGACCTGAGTCTAATGACAGTGGCGCACACTTCGAAACGCTTGTGGCTGCCAAATCAATTATTGGACTCACATGAATTTTTAAGTTTTATTTTTTTAAAATATTTATTTAATTTAATTATTAAAAATAATTATTAATTGAAATTATTAATTAATAAATATTAAAATAATTAATATTTATTATTTAACAAATTCAAATTAATTTAATAAATTAATATTTTAAAATATCCTAATTAACTATTTATATAAAAAAATTTATATTTTCCTAATAATTTGGTAGTTGCCATGGCCATCTCCGGCTAAACAGTCCCTTAAACTTTAAGAAAAATATTTAATAATTTTTCTGAAAAATTATTAGAATACATATTATATGCATAGCTGAATAACTCAGAAGAAAAATTGAATTCCAATAACATTTTTGGAATTAGATAAACAGATTTCTGGGAATTGTTTAGAAAAAAAAAAAAACAAAACAAAACCTTGACATTTTTAATTTAACTGAAATTCTCCAGAGTACTAAGGAGATCTTTAAATTAATTATTTAAATGTAAATTTTTTTTATATTAATATTTTGATATCTGATAATCATATTAGATCTCGATTTTTTTGAAATCGAATCGCGTTAGACCTAATTTTGGGAGAAGCTTTCTCAACGTCTGTTTCACCATTCACAAAATTCGAACTCAAGAGCTTACTTGATGGAAATCAAATTTCTTCCACTCAAATCAACAGATTATTGATGTATTTAAATGTAAATGATAACTAATAACTAATATCTATGTCTAAAAATCATTATTTATAATTAGAAATTATTTCATTCATTTAATTAAAATCAACGAACTAACAAATATTTTCAAAACGTTAGAACAAATTAAACATACTCATAGATTGCCCTTTTTTCCCCTCATATTTGTTGGTGACAAAAATGATGGACAAAACTTGGTGATATACATATATATATATATATATATATTTGGTGGGGGAATTGCAATTTAGGCTATTCATGGTTTGGAGTTGATATATATAAAGATTTAAGATTTTAAAATATATATAACATATTTGTGATTTGAAGTGTGTATACGTAAAGACATAATATTTCAAAAAATATATATGAACACATAAAACTTGTATTAAGTGCAAATAACCACTTAAAATATTAAAAAACACACACACAGAGTGGGACGTGGAGGAACAGAAAAACAAAGAAAAAACAAGAAAAATTAATAAACAAAACTTAAAGGATTTTATTTATCTTAGGTGGAGCACTCTTAACATTTATCATTTATTTTTTATTTTTTATTTTTATTTTTATTTTTTGGAGACATGGCAATTTAAGAACCTACTCAGCTCTTGAATGGTGAGATTAATTTCTTGTGGCCAATCTTCAAACTCCACCTACTCTCACAGAACAAGAGTACGTGCCACTAACTAGTGTAGTGTGGACACTTAAATTGGGACTGCACAAATCCATCTTCTCCTTTTACTCTTCTGCTTTAATTCTCGTTTGGTGGATGATGTAAAGAACGCAATGGAGGCTTAGCTGCCATCCATTTACAATGCTTCAAATACACACTTGAAGCTTTTTTTTTTGTAATGATGATGGTATCTATATACACTTCCATCAACTAGACAAGGAAAATTCCATGAACATATTAGAACTGTAGTTTTTGCAAACAAATTAACTAGAAATCCCACCTCAGCCTCAAAATCAACAGGAACAACAACTGCATGCTTCCGTCCCAGCTAAATTATCTGACCTGGTCAAACTCATCGGATCAGATTAATCCCTAGTGAAACGGTTGTAATATTACATCTCTCTTTATGCAATAAAGAATCAAACATAAACCAATCTCAATGACCAAAATTTAAAGGGCATTTCATGTAAACAGAAACTTTTGTAAATGTATTGTTTGAATATAAGAGATTAGTGTTTTTGGTTAGATTTATAAAAAATTAAATAAAAAATATTTTAAAATTATATTATTTTAATAAAAACACAATGAAAAAAGATTAAAATAATTACATATTTATTTTTAAAATTAAAATATTTTAATATTTTAATAAAATAATAAAAAATAAAAATCAAGACGGATAGAATCAAAACCATTCATCATGTGACTCATATTTGGATCTTAACATGAGTATCACATAATAAATGGTTCTGATTTTATCAGGATTGTTAAACAATTTTGAATTTTTGCAATCTCATAAAATAACATAATTTTAAAATGTTTTTTTAGCTAATTCTTTTATGGGTATGATTGGCAAACATTTTCCCCTAGTATAATCTCTATAAAAGAAATTGTTTGGTCAGGTCGAACGGCTAAAAAACTGTTTACACTCACCCAAGGCATTTTTTCACCTTCTAGATATGCTCTGTTTTTAATGAATTTCTAATCACTACAACCAATCACGGCCACCACTTCACATGTTGGAAACGTGTCTGGTCGTGTATTGGACTTTTATTACAGTTAAGTTGGATGTTGAGACTCTTAAAGTCTCTAGCAGAAATTATTAATTGGACCAAAAACCATAATCATGTTTTTTCTGGGCAGTTTTGGCAACGTGTCATAGTACTAATTTTCTTTTACTAATCACTTCTCCAAGATCCATTTCATCGCTTTCTAAAGTCCTAATTTTTGGGGAGAAAGCATCAAACATCAACATCACTTTGAGTAATCACATGCCTTGCTAATTATTACTGTTGACTTAAGTCCACGCCATTGCCATTCCGGCATATCCTCACTCCCCACTCAGTCCAAATGATTAAAGAGAAAATTTGTACAAGAAGAGGGTAAATACAAGTCAACAAATATGCAGAAAAAGGTTGAACTAAACAGTGTCAAAAGAAAGAATTTATTGAAACGCAATAAAAAAGGTTTATATACCGAATCAATAAAAAATTAAGTAAAAAACAATTAAAATTAACTCATTTGGACAAAATATTAGAAAAAAAGACAATTTGCATTCATACCTTGAAATAAAGATTTTTTTAAACTTTTTTTCCCTAGTACTTTGTAATATTTTATTAAATAAATTAAAATGTCATTTCACTTATAATTTTTTAATATTTAATTAATAAATATTAACTTATTAATTTTTTTAACGAATAAAATTTAAATCCTTCACCTTTTAAATTTAACGTGAGAACTCTTTTATAAAAACGAGAGAACACTAAACTACAAGAAACGTTGTCAATGAACATTAACTTATTTAAAAAAAAATGCCGACCAAAAAAACAAAACTTATTTAAAAAAATAAAAAATTGAATAAACTATAAAGGTGAGCAATTAATCCCACCATTGTCCCCCCCATCAATCCCTGTAACCATATTTGCACAACCTTACAAACAGCCCCATCAAAGTGAGCATCTTGTCCAACATGGAGAGGAACAGCTGGCTCTTCTTGGCTTTTGTCCTGCTGCAGGTACTACGAAGAGAAGCTGCCATCAGTGTGGGTGGTGGTGGTGTTGGTGTTGGTGTTGGTGTTGGAGTCAGTATTGGCAATGCTGGTGGTGGTGGTGGCGGAGGAGGAGGAGGAGGGGTTTGGGTTGCTGGGGGAGTTAATGTTCCAGCTCCATCTTGGTCTTCCAGATCAGACATCAGCAGTGCTTACTCTGCTCTGCAGGCATGGAAGTCTGCAATTACAGAGGACCCATTGGGGATTTTGAAGACATGGGTTGGTTCTGATGTGTGCTCTTACAAAGGGGTTTTTTGTGAAGATGCTCAAGATGAAATGGGTCCGTTTGTTTCCGGCATAGATCTCAACCATGCAAATCTCCAAGGAACTCTTGTCAAGGAACTGTCTCTGCTCACGGACATGTCTCTTCTCCACCTCAACAGCAACAGGTTTTCCGGCACACTGCCAGACACTTTCAAAGACCTCTCTGCACTCCAAGAGTTAGACCTCAGTAACAACCAGCTCTCCGGTCCTTTTCCGTTAGTAACCTTGTACATTCCGAATCTCGTTTATTTGGACCTCAGGTTCAACAGTTTCTCCGGACCTCTACCGGAGGATCTCTTCAACAAGAAACTCGATGCCATTTTTCTCAACAACAACCAGTTTGGAGGCCAAATCCCTGACAATCTGGCTAATTCTCCGGCTTCCGTGATCAATCTGGCCAACAACAAGTTCACCGGAAACATTCCCGTTAGTCTCGGCTTCATGAGTTCAAAGCTGAAGGAAATTCTGTTTCTGAACAACCAATTAACAGGATGCATTCCAGAAGGGGTCGGGTTGTTCACCGAGATGCAGGTTTTTGATGTGAGCCACAACTCGCTCAGGGGTCATTTGCCAGACACTATTTCTTGCCTGAACGATATCGAGGTTCTCAATTTAGCACACAACCAGTTATCTGGGGTCCTGCCGGACATGGTCTGTTCTCTGAGGAGTTTAATGAATTTGACGGTGGCCTACAATTTCTTTTCTGGGTTTAGCCAGGAATGCACGAAGCTATACTTCAGAGATGTGGGGTTTGATTTTTCGTCAAATTGCATCCCCGGAAGAGACATGCAGAGACCCCAGCCGGAGTGCTCTGGAATTCCCGGCAGTGGATTGAATTGCCTGAGAATCCCTGTTACTCAGCCTCTTGTTTGTGGGGCTTTAATTGGGAACATGGAGGCTAATCTAAGCCTATCATCTCCATGAGAGAAGCTCATTACAGTGAAGGTCAGTAGTGTATCACAGTTGGAAATGGTTGTCACATTTACTAATAGCAATTATGAGTAAAGAGTTTCCAGAGTCTTTCTTTTTGGGTCCATTATGTCTTTCAAAGGACAAGATACCAACCAGGGCAATGAAGAAAGAGGTTATGAGCCTATCTACCATTTTAAATACTACTAAATCATTAAAAAGATAATTATTTGCAATTTGCTTAGCTATGTGATCCTAGACTTGAGCCCTCTTTAGCCTAACTTAAAATGTATGCGTGTAGAGATGCTCCTTAAGAAAACATTTTTCAAGAATATGTAATCTCTAGGGTTGTTTATACTTTCAAAAATGTGTTTGGTAGTTTGGACTGTGTCCCTTGGATGGGTGGAGCTCCTCATATTTGAGGAGGTCCACCGATCCAAAGCTTCTTTTTTGGTAGTTTGAACTGGAAAAAAAAAAAAGAAAAGGGATTGTTATCATTTTTATATGAACTAATTGTGTCATAAACTGAAAGTCATGTGATTAACAACTTGAATTTCCAACAAAAGAACACATGCTTATTGTGATGGGAAGAAATCAGAATAACTTTTGGATGAAGCAAAGAAAAACAACATGAAGATTACAGGATTTAAAAATATGTTTGTTTAACCAATGAAATACATTGGGTTTGGCAATTTAAAAGACCTTTGGGCCAATGCAAATCCCAGCAAGTCACTCCACTGATCTCCAGAGCTCCCATGAATCCTGTAACCTTCATTCACCAGCTCTGATCTCTTCTCAGACTTGTAGATAATGGCCAGTTTCCCTTGATCTGAAGGTCCTCTGCAATCAATAACCACAACCCATTTCTTAATTCCATCAGCCATTGAACAGAACAGTCTTCATTATACAAGTAACTACCTCAATAAACCAAAACAGAAACAGGGTGAGATTACTTTAGACAGTGGCCCTTTCGATTGCTTCCACCCAAATTCATGTGAGACCCACCAATTTTATTAAGCAGATAAATTGACATGGGAAGAGCCCACCCAAACAGGAATAGAGAATTTTATGGAGTACTTTTACGCATATAGTTTCCACCTTTTTCCGATTATCCATGTGTTCTAGAAAGTAGCTACATTTGATGTTGAGGCACTTTTCAACTAATGTCAATGGCATCATGCATTTGAACAAGATGAACCACAAGTGCATAATTTAAACAATCAAAACATGAATTTATAAGAGATACATCAAAAACTGCAAGAGAAATTTCGTCAGAGAATCAAGTAATAAGCCCACCTCAAGATAAGCCTTTCCCAGTTGGTAAATCCTGCAAAAAGAAGATTTTTTGCCGTGACATTCCTCTGATTTTCATTGCGTCCAGTTAAGAGGAATATCTTGAATCCCATCTTCTTCAACTGATCATACAGATTCAAACTAGCCGCTAAGGCCGGCGCCTCCGCCAATTCAACCCACTCATCCCAAGATTTCTCATCAAATGTCTCCGACCTATGTCCATAACAATATCTCGTTATTATATTATAAAAAAATTAAAGATTATTAAATTCTCTTTTAATAAATACCTTTTAAAATTTTTAATCTTTAATAAATACTAAATAAATATTTAATGCATATTATAAAATCTTCAATATATATCAATAATTATCAACTAAATTATATTCTAAATACAATTATATTAAATCATGGCCATTCAAAACCCAAACACAATTATATTCTAAATAATATTAAATTATATTCTAAATAATATTAAATTATATTCTAAATTTCATTTTTAGCAATTCCAAAGAAATATTAAAATTTTCTATTCAAGTTGTTTACCATACATTATATATAGGAATATTATTTTAAAATTATGTCATTTTAATAAATATTTATTAAAAAATATTAAAATATTTTATTTTTGAAATATAAATTAAAATATTTTTTTATCTTTTTTCCTTTTATTTTTTTTAAAACAAAACAGACAACCACTATCCCTTATATATATTATATATTAAAAGTGTAGAAATTAAAAATATTTAAATAAATTTATAAGACTGTATTTTTATGTATAATTTATTTTATAAAAAAATATATTTTTTAAGTTTTTCAAAAAAATTAAATTAAATTAATAATATATATTCTCCCTTCCACGTGTCAATATCTAATTACTAAGATAATCGATAAGATGCACACCATCCTACAACTACTCCGCACCATTAACGGTCATGATTGATATTAAATCAGGCGACTGTATTGAATCGACGGTTCGATTTGGATTTCACGTACCCGAATCCGTGGAGCTCGTAATACCGGAGATTAGAGAGCAAAGTCTCGTCGATGTCAAAGACCCAGGCATCTTTCCCGTCCGCGGCGATCTCGACGGTGGAAGCGAAATTGAGGGAGTAGTTAGCTACGACATCGGAATCCGAGGCATACCGCTTGCCGGTCATGTAGTCCTGAACAAAGAGGCGGCATTGAGAAGGAATGCTCGTCCAGGCTCCGGCGTTGTTGGTCTCGACGGAGAGCCTCCAGCTGTCGCAATAGAGGTCATCGTCGTGGGCCTCGACATGGGACTTGCGGAGGCTGGTCGGGAGTCGGATGAGGGATTGAGAGAAGGTTGTGGAGATGAAAACGGAGAGGAGGACGAAGAAGAAGAGATGCCGGAAAGCCATTGAGAAATCCCTCGCGCGAGAGAGAGATTTCGATCTCTTCTCTCTCCCCCTCTGCCTCCCGAGCAGCACCTTACGTGAAGAGAATGTTTGTCAGGACTAATCAGCCTTCTTTAATCTCCTTGTCACGGCTGCCTGGCCATAGAAACCAGAACCGTGCCTGATCCGGAAATCGCGATAAACGCTGCCGTTTAACTGAATTATATTTTAATAAATATACTAATTTTTTTAACATATTACAATTTGAAAAGGATTACAACCCCAATGGTAATGTTTGAGGTGCATCTTACGAAAAGGTATGTAACCTAATTAGGTTACAAAACTTTAGTGCTTAAAAATTATATTAATTTTTTTATGAAAAAAATATATTTATTAAGATGAAAGTGATTGCATTTATATCTCAATATGATGGCACCATAATCTAAAAATTGAAAGCATAATTTATGGTGCTAGTAACAATCTTAGGTTTTGTTTTGGATTCTTATAAGGTACTGTAATTATAGATTTTTCAGTATTGTATTATTATAAAAATTATGTTATTATTTGATAATTATTTTAAAAAAGTGTGATATATCAATATAATTATTAAATTATAAAAAACATATTTTAAAGTTAATTTGATCATAATAATTTGACATTTTTAATAAGGTGCTATGTATATGAAAAAACATTATGAAACCACAACTCCTACCACAACCTTAAATTATATACACATGTTTGATATAAATAATTAAGTGAAGATTATCTACCACTCTGTATGAGTATATCTAAAGTGAGCAACCCTAAAATGGAAATGACTACATGCATCCTAACTTACTAGCCAACCACAACTATTTAGCTAACTTCTTGAGGAGAGTTGGAAAACTAGCATTAACAGTCTCTACGCATCTTGTTAAATGTCGTCTCATCTTGTCATAAATATCAACCTGCTGCAAAAGGGTTATGGCCTTCACTCATACGAACTAAAGCTACCCTTGTATTATACGAGCACCTTAGAGCCCGGCCCTCTCTTCTTCTAGAACCCCGCTCTTCACTCATACGAGTTTTGAGAACCAGTGTAATGGTTTTGGCAAAAGATGGAGACTTTGGTCTTAGGGGTGGACGTTCATTCATGGCAGCTGAAGGAAAAGAGAAAGAAATTAAGGATATTGGGGATAATGGCTGATAAATTAAAAGCAAAAACGCTATAGTTACAATGTCACATGATATTGTAAGTATATAATATGATATGTCGTTATATAGTTAATTTTTTTCATTCAAGAATTTATTTATGATATTATATGTATCAATTTATTTAATATTATATTATATTTTATTAAATATTATGTAAAATTGTAAGTTTACAATCTTATATGACATTATAATTATAGTCTTATCAAATTAAGAGTGACAAAGGAGAGAAAGGCGACAAGTGTTGTGTGTGTGCATGAGAAGGACTGAAGGAGTGAAACATGGATGAAAAGCAGTCGTGTGGCAGTGATACCTCACTCCCCAATTCATAATAGTTTGCTTATAATCATTATAATTCAAAATTACTCCTTAGCCTCCCGTGACCTCTGTTAGTCACTGTTATATTTTTTTCAGTACAAATAAGAAATTTTAAGTTTTAGTAATATGATATATATACGGGTGAGATCATTTATAAGATGAAAAAAGCTATCTATAATTATACAATTAAAATTAATAAAAAAATTTATTCCTTACCTTAACCCTAAGTTGGGATGTGTTTGGAATTGTAGGGATTAGCTTTCATCAATAAGGTTGGTTTAATGAGTTTTTCTTTGCGTTCAACACTACAAGAATGTGGTCATGGAAGCATTAACATTTTAAGTGTCAACCATGAAATATTGATGCAAATATATATCATCTACATCAACATTATTCATGCAAAAAAAGTTTGTTGCAAAAAATTTTTTTAGTGTGAACTAAAAAACATTAGTGTAAGTATTGTTGACGCAAATAGGGTCAAAAGTTTAACAAAACCCAGTCCATTGTGGTCAGTGTTTTAGAAAAATTATAAAAATGATAAAAAGTAATTGGATGAATAATATATTACTGATATGGTACCATTTCATTGTACTATATACTTCAAACATGTTTCCATGGAGTGTGGGTCAATAATTCTTTACCATTACATCAAAACTTATGTTGATACAAATTATTGGTGTTGTCTTCAAAACCAGATTTGGGTTTTCTTGCTGTGCATTTTTTTGAAGGTTTTGTTTACTTCTCCTCCTTTCTTTTTCATGAAAGCAACGTGGGATCACTATTTATCTCAAATTTCAACTACATTTATTAAAGTTTAGTATCACAAAGGAGACAAAAAGGTAAGAAAATCATTTCTGTAAAAGTTTTTAATTGTTTTCTCAATTTTCATATTATACATTCCACATCTAACTATTTGTCTTTTTTTTCTTCAAAATTATAGATCTAAATATTTAGTCTCTAGAAAATAAACAAAAGAGTAAGAACATTATTCCTTTAAAAGATTTTTAATTTTTTTACCAAATTTGCATGTTATACATATTAAATCTAACTCTTTATCTTTTTTTTTTTTTAAAACTATAAATACAAATATCTAGTCTCTACAAAACAAACAAAAGAGTAAGAATACCATTTTTTTTTAAAGTTTTTAAAATTTTTTTGCAAACCTAAATGTTTAATATCCCAAATTTGACTTCTCTTCCTTTCCTTCTCCCCTTTTACATTTAAGATTGAGCATTTGACATTTGAAACTCCTAGAAGGTGTATTTTCTTATAAAAAATTTTAAATTAAATGTTAATTTTGGTCCCTTAACTTTAAAATTTTGCATAATTTTCATCTCAAAATTTTTTATATACTTTTTTGGTCCCTCAATTATAAAATTGTACTTTTTTTAGTAATTCCGTTTGTTAATTCATTGAATCTGTCTATATATACAAATTTGTTATCCCTAAAATGAAAAATTAAGGGATATAAAACATGCATATATTATAAGTTAAGAGATAAAAAATGTGCATATTTAGTTAGATATAATGGATTAATTGATAGAATGACTAAAAAAATGTATTTTTTAATATTTAGGACCAAAAATGTGCATAAAAAAGTTGAGGGACAAAAATTGCAAAATTGTAAAGTTGAGGTCCAAAATTGCCACAACAAGTATATTATGTTCCTTAACCAGCCCCACCAGATTATTCGTTTAATACTTATTCTGCATCTATTGGCATTACTACACTACATCCAACACAGGGATATGATGACCTGTTTGGCAATACCTATAGTTCCGATAATAGTAGTTCTCACAGGTTTGGTGTTGGTAATGTTCCAAACCTTTTTGCACCACATGAAACCCAACCTAATCCAACCTAATAGTTTATCAAGCAAATCAAAAACTTCATCAGCAACTTAGTGAAAAAATCGGTTTGATAGATTTCTACCTTCAGATTGTCTTGAGTTTAATTATGATGATGATGATGATGATAATGATGTGGGTAATGAGTATATACTTTATATTGATCCCATGTTAATAAGGATGTTGGGCTTAATATTGGATTTGTTACATTGTTTTTGTTGTATTTTGCATGTTTCTAAATTTAATAGTACTTAAATATGAATTGAACTTATTATTTTTATCTATATATGCTTATATTAGGTTGAATGGATTGAAACAGATTTAAAATTGCATCTTACATCAAGTGTTTGTAAATAAATAAATATGTAAATGAGGTTTAGGTTTTTCTTTATTTAGATGAAATATGTTATGTTGCTAGAAGGATTAATATATTGATACATAGGTTTATAAATCCTTTTTATGAGGTGTTTCATATTTAGAGAAGTAGATTTTTTTATGAGGTCTTTCATAAATCATATGGTTGGATTTTTTCTTAGGTTTTTAAGTCAACAACTTATAATGTTGATGCTAACTGATACAAAATTGTCAAAAATTTTTTAAGTCCACTGAGTTTTCCCACCACTTTTGATTAAATTATTGTTTGTGTCAACAATGTTGAAGCAAATCATATTGCCTGATGCAAATGTTTATATATATATATATATATATAGATCACCCATAGTAGTTCTCCTATCATTACGCCATTTCTCTTCTTCTTGAGATTCATTTCTCTTTTCTTCCTATTCTCTTCTCTCATTTTCTCAGTTTCTTACTCTTCGTATTTTTCATAGACTAAATTCATTCTCATGAAATTTTTGTTACAATCCAATGGTATGTTCTCTGACCCATAAATTCTT